GGAGGGAAGAAGGCCACAAAGGTGATGGGCTGCCGGGTATTCCCAGACCCAAGGCAAACCTCCGCGAGGGCGCAGGTCCAGCCTTCGCGTGGTTTGTTTTTCTCCGACGCCTTGAGCAGGCCAAGCCGTGCGGTGTGGGTGTGGGCTTCCCTGCTTGAGCGCTTCTCGTGCACCCGACCCACTTCTCTCCTCGTGTCTCCAGGTGTCATCGGGCTGGTGGCCTTGTACCTGGTGTTCGGTTGTGGAGCCTCTCTACTCTGCAACCTGATAGGATTTGGCTACCCAGCCTACATCTCGTAAGTGGCCTCCCCTGCAACCATCCTTCCTCCTCTTCACTCCCCTTCCCCCATCCCAAGCTGCCCTAGTTACTCTATATCCCCATTTCCTTGGGAAAGCAGGCAAAGCACCACAGGGTAGTAACTGTCTGCTTAAGGTTACACGGTTTAGAGCCTTAACTTGATGCTTGATCGCCTGATGGCTAACCGAAATGTATATTTCATCAGCTTATACTCGCGGCTGTGTACGTTCTCATGGGTGCACAAACAGAAAGTGTTGCAACAAAGTCGTCCTGCCTTTACTGGTGGGGAGCGCCCAATGGGTAGAGAGAGCTAACTGATTTCTTCTCCCTAATAATTCTTTTAATGTGTATTTCACCTTATATGTATGTGCATAGACAGTAAAACCCCCATCAATTAGGACTTCATTCTGAATTAATGTTAATTCAGGCACTGGGGAGAATTTTGTCTTCTTAATTTTTAAAAAGCTTGCCACAAGAACCATATGATTTCATTCATATGTGGAATACAAAACAGAAAACAACAAATGAACAAACTCATAGACACAGACAACAGTGTGGTGGTTACCAGAAGGACAGGGAGGTGGGTGGTAGAAGAGGGTAAAGGGGGTCAAATACATGGTGACAGAAGGAGGCTAGACTTTGGGGGGTGAGCACACAATGCAGTATACATATGATATAGAATTGTACCTGTGAAACCTATATAATGTTATTAACCAATGTCACCTCAATAAATTTTATTAAATGAAAAGGCTTGCCACTTAGTACAGGAAATGGGAAACACCCTAATATAAAAACAAAAGCAAGCCTTATGAAATGCATCACTAATATAGCTTCTTGGTTATATAAATGACTTATTTATGTAATTAAGCTAAATTACAAATGAATCATCAGATTAGGAGCTGAATTTATTAGCTGAGGTGTTTACAGTGTATTTTGGAAATATCCTACAAATTCACTTTTCCATTCATGCAGGAGTTATTCCTCACCACAAATGAATTTGTTTTACTCTACAGCTCTTCCAAGAAAGCTGGTGGGTGATACTTCCACTGAATTTGTTTTTGTATCTTTCCTCAACCACAGATAAAAATAAAGGAAGGAAAAAAAATTGATCTGGGAGGCTAAGACACAGATAACACCTTATTACATCTTGTATCCCTCATTGGACAGGAGGAAACATGTTTTAGAAGTTGGTTCTGATAATGTTGTAAATATTTCTTAGGGGGCCAGATGGACTCATGTCTTGTGGGGGAGACTACTTCACAGTCATTGTAGAGGTCTGACCACTGCACTGTATTTCTGAAGCTGATGTTGAATAATATTGTATGTCAACTATAATTATATATACATATAGTCACGGGACATGGAGTAGAGAGTGGGAATGGAGTCCATGGAATTGTAATAGATAAGCATGATATCGGTGGTGGGAGGGCAGTAGATGGGGGGAAGGGGGTTGTTACTTTGTGAGGGTGAAAAGGATACCTATTGCATTGTTCTGTACACCTGAAACTAACAATAAAAAAAATTAAAAAAAAAAGAATACAGTATATAATACATGTAACATACAAAAAAAAAGAAGTTGGTTCTGATTTAAACAATTAAATTAAAATTATATAAGCAATAGTTACTATACCCATTTGGTACACTTCATGGCACTCCAGAAAGTAGCTACATATAGGACACTGTTCATGAAATTGGAGAGCCTCAGTCTTCAGGCTGAGAAGAGCTTTAACCCTCTGTAGCATTACCTTCTAAAGCACCATCCAGGTTTTATGTGAATGCCAAAAGATTTCAGATCGGTGAAAAAGGTACAACGATAGCAGTTTTCCATAAAATGTAATCTACTGGTATATGGTATGCATACACAGTTTGCAGACAACCCTGATTCAGAATGGCTTGTACATCGCTGTCTATGATAACAGACAAAATCACCCAGTAGTATACTCCTTTACTTTTCTTCGGCTTCTGTAGTTTACTTGCGGGAGCTCTTTTAGAAAGAGATTTTTGAAGCCTTTTTTTCAGTTTTGGGCTCTAGATGTCATTGATCACGCTTAGAACAAGTCTTCTGCAGCAATTTAGTACTGCCTCACTGCTTGAATTATATTGAATAGGCAAGTCATAAGGATTTTTAAAAATACTAAATAGCATTAAAAAAACTTTCTAACAAGGCATATGGATTTTTAAAAATACCGAATAGCATTAAAAAAACTTTTTTTCCACATCAGTGCCATTTGGCACATAGAAACATACCCTTCTCTGTCGGTGTGATGAGATCGCTGCTGTGGGTTTTAGAAAGGTAAAAATCTGCTTCTAGGCGAGATAGGTCCATCCCTGTATGTGTGAGAGTGGATATATGTAACTAAAGATGTAGAAAGAACTCGAAATGCTTCTCCTTGACTTGAAGTGGATTAATTCGAGCAGGGGCCATTTTTTTAGTCATATTTTAAAGTAATTTCAAGCCAGCCAATTCAACTTTATCATTTTTTGTAGTCATTCTTTCATTCATTTTTAATATAGTCAATTGAAAACTATTGGCTCTTTTTTACTTATAAGAAGCTAACTATTCCTATCTATTGCTAGGAATTCTGTAAAATGGTAGAGACAGTTATATTCCTGAGTAGTTCAGGTCCGTGGATTTTACATAGTTTAGAATTATTCTATTCATTAAGTATATACACTTTATTTTCTTTTCTATTTGAATATTCTAAGGCAAAGTGACATCTGTGGTACACCTTAGTAGGAATTGGGAAAAGTATTAAAAATCTATTAAAGGGAATTTAATGATTTAAGCAAAAATTCAGGAAATAATGAGTATTTCTGCGTTAGTATTTATTCATAGGATGCTTCTTTTTGGTAGACCCAACTCTTTTACCTTTAAAATAAATACAAGATTCTATGACCATAAGGGAATTAAGTGAAGGTTGGTCTCTGTGGGTACGTGGACTTTCCCCTAAGAACCTAATTGGTTCTTAGCCCTGACTGCCCATTGGAATTATCTGAGGAGCTTTATAAGATACTGACTGATACCTGGGTCTCGCCCCCAGAGATTCTGATGTAGTAATCGGTCTGGGGTGTGTCCTGGGTTTTGAGATTGTTTAAAGGCTTCTTGATCTGTTAAAATTTTTAAAGGATTTTAATGTGCAGCCAATGTTGAGAGCTCCTGTGAAGAATGACAGCAATAACTGTGCTTGTTACACTTGCAGATGGTTGTGAAAGGGTGGGGAAAATGGCCGGCTGACAAGGGGAAGAGTCCAGAAGCTTCCCTGTCCTCGGCTTTGTGCGGGAAGTTCAAGGAGACATGGGACTGTTGTACACAGTATAAAGCATACAGCCCCCCCGGTTAGTAAGCATTCAGGCAATCCAAGTTACAGGTCTAATCAAGCCATGTTCAATGGCTAAACCAACATGATTGCGTAATTGTCAAAAAGAAGGTCCTTGAAAAATGGTGGTATTAATAGCACCTAAATCAGTGTTACTTAAAGTGTGATCTGCAATCACCTTCACTTAAATTGTTCTCCTTGCCTCTTGTAATTCTCCCTGTGCTCCCTAGCCAGGGTTATTTTTAAAAATACAGGTTCATCTATTTAGCAAAAGTCAAATGCCAGCCATGGGCCAGGCACTGCGGCAGCACTTTAGATACACCAGGGACTAAGGTAGACATGCTCTCTATCCTCTGAACAGTCTACCAGGATAAACCACAATAAATAGGAAAGTGGTGACAGAGTGTGGTAAGCCTTCCAGAGAAGGTCAGCAGGGAGCTGTGGTAGAGAATAACAGGAAGGACCCTTTAGTATTTGTCTGAGATCCTATTTGGAGTTAGGACCTGAGGAATGAGAAGGAACCAGCCAAGAGCAGAGCCAGGCAGAGGCCGCCACCTGTCCCTGCCCTGGGGGCAGCAGGTACTGTTGGAAGAACTGGTGCTGTGGAAGCCCTGTGAGCGGGAAGACCAGCGAGGGAGGACCGGAGGGGTACAGGTGCCAGCAGGCATGGCAGGTGGCCCCGACACGAAGTGTGCATTTTATTCCAGGCAGTTGTAGGGAGTTTGCATGTTTTCTGACTACCTTGGATGGATTTTAAATAGGGGGGTGAGATGATACGATGTAAAGGTCATTCTGGCCGCTATGACCTCTAGAAGGAATTGGCGATTCTGCCAAACTATTGCCTATCCCTTTCGCACCTTTCAGCTTTTGCTCCTACTTTTTCCTCTCTTTGGATCATCATAGAGAGGGGCCCACAGATTATGTGCAACGGTCAGCATTGGGCCTAGAGGCCGTAGGATGCAGAAATACAATTTGGAAAAGCTCATTTGACTTCCCAGCTTTTCTCATGACTCCACCTTGGGAAATCTGTGGGCAGGGCTCAGATGCACCTAGCTCCAGGTCACATCTTGGTGTGTTGGAGCACAGACAGCTGAAGGCCTGGCCACAGCTCGTGGAGAACAACCGGAGTCTTATCGGGTACCTCCTTGCTACTACTGGTTACTCTCAGTTTCTGTGAACATAATTTCCTTTTGAGCTCTTTGAAAGCAAAGGTTTTAAAATTCTACCTCCATGTTTCCAGACTTTTTGGCCACCTTGTGTAGACAGTTTGAAATCTAATTCCAGCCTTCTTATTAAGAGCTATTGACAGAATTACTTTGATCTGCCTACTTTACTCCTGATAAGAGAAGGAAGACTACTGGATAATAATAGGAACATCCATTATTAAGGTAGACTTTCTTTCCCTTTTGCTGAGATATAGCACACATATGGCCTTTTTTTTTTTTAAAGATTTTATTGGGGGAATTGGGGGAGGGAACAGCATTGGGGACTTGGGGAAGGGGAACAGACAAGTTGCTGTCCTTTTTATTCTTCAGTCTAGTTGTGGAGGACGTCGCTTCACTGGCCCATGTTGGTACTGTGATCATTGTGCTCTTCCCGGGTGAGGCAGATAGGTCTCCGGCCTTTGGACTGCCGCTCATGGCAGCTCACAGCAGCTCATGCCGCCGGCTGCTCCCAGTAG